GAAAAGAGAGAGATGCCACTAGAGCTAGAGCATTCATTACCAAGGCCGTTGAAAACCTTTGAGATGCAGGAAAAAGCAATATATATATAAGCGGCATGCTGCCTCAATGGTTGCCTTTGTGATGGGCGTGACAAACAATCAACTTCCTGGACTTACCTTGGGACCACCTTCTTCCGCTTCAATGATTTCTAGAACCTTATTGCTGGCTTTGGGATCACTGATAGCGGCTACACACACATCTGCCACCAAATCTCTCGATATTTCTCCCGAATTCAAGCTATCTTCCTTGGAAATGATGAGTCCGCCACTAGGAGGTTTGGCCTTTAGTCCACCGGGACGAACAATGGTGTAGTCCAGACCAGACTTTCGGAGGTAATTTTCGGCAATAATTTTCTCGTCCAAGACACCTCCAAAGGCGTTGGTGATTTGGAATCCAGGAGAGCTTTCTTGTCCCCAGTTGCGTCCATTGGTAAGGATGGAGGAGACCATGACAACCTTCTTTACTCCCGCTTTCTTGGCCGCATCGACCAACGCAATAGTTCCCAAGTTGTCCACGGCATGAGCCGCATCCTTCATTTTCAAAGGATTTCCTGGAATGAATCCGGTGGCAATCACCAAGGAATCGGCTCCGTCCATGGCCGACGCCAATTCATCGACCGAATCCTTGACGACATCCATGTGCTTGAGTTCCACAGCCGACGTGTCGACCGATGCGACCTTTTGAACCATGGCTCCACGAATGACAGTGGAATCCTTTTGCAAGGCTGCTGTGGCCTTGTCCACACTGCGCACTCCTCCAACCACGGACAGTCCTGACGTGCCAGCAAGACGTTCCAGGATGCGCCTTCCAGTCTGACCAGTGGCTCCAGCTACCACCACCTTGCTCGAGTCAGCGGCATTGGCAGGGAGAATGTTAAAGCCCGAAACGGAGACTCCAATGGTGGCAGCAGCAGCGGCTTGGAAAAGGCTGCGTCGGTCCAAATAATTGGCACCTTCACTCGCAGCATTGTCCGTGGTGGCAGCTTTCAAAGCGGTTGAAGTGGCTTGGGTAGCGGGGCCAACCACCGAAAAGGCGGTTGCCTCGGCAAACAAAAGAGTCAAAACGATACTAACGACCTTCATCTTGTTTCCAACAACAAAAAATAGAATGTGTCAGTCAGCCCGAGGGAAGTGGTAATCAGCAGCAACCCAATCGATGATATTGATAAAGGGGAGATCTTTCTCACTCAGCATTGTTGGCCGTGTCAGAGCGATTGGATCGTCCAAAGATCCATCGCTGACGTCAGTACTGCCAACCCTGTACAGTGTACCAAAATCTTCAGCTGAGTGAGTCAGTCCTGCTTCCAATGACAAATGAACGAAGAAGCTGTGGTGTGCTTTTATGCTGTTGCGCTACCTTACTTGGGGCCTTACCACTAGAGCAAACACCAAATGGGTGTGCTCAACCACCATCAACACTATGGAAGAGCATGGACGTGATATGGCTAAAGCGCGACGTTCGACTGCACGACCATGGTCCACTCCATTTCGTCTGCACCAATCCCAGCAAGTTTCGAATTTGCATTCTGTATCTGTACGAGCCAAATCAGCTCTGCGAACCAACGGTACATGGATCTCGCATTGCATTGATCAATGAGGGACTCGTAGACTTTGACCAGCAGCTATCGGCCCTTGATGACAATACAACCGAAAAGGCGACTCCAGAAGATTCCACGGAGTCGTCCACATTGGTGTTTCAATATCTGACTGTTTGCCATGGCAATGCCGTACCGGTGCTCGACCACATTCACTCCACCTACACCATACGACGGCTCTTGGCACACGAAGAGACGGGTCATTATGCATCGTATCAGCGCGATAGAAAAGTGCGTAAATGGTGCAAGGAACAACAGATTCCCTTTCGCGAGTCCAGAATCGCGACGACTTTTCCAAAAAGTTAAAGGAGTTCCTCGACCAACCAAAGGCTACCGTCAACATTACAGACAATATTATGAAATCCCAAATACGACAACTCACATTGGAATGCCACGAGGAGGATCCCACTAGCGACGACTTCTTTCGGGTGACTCGATATCCTCTGTTGGAGCAACTACTAGTACAGGAAATCCCAGCGGAACATCGCATCGACCGACCACGCCGACAGCGCGGAGGAGAACGAGTCGAGTCGGGTTACGAACACTCCAATCTTTTCTAGATCAGCGAGGAGAAGGATACTCGACAGGGATATCGTCGCCATTGTCAGCCTGGAATTCCTGTAGCCGATTGTTGGTCTTTTTGGCATGGGGTCATCTCTCCTTGTGACATGTTCATCAAGCCACCAAGGCACGTTCGGAAGCCTTGAAGCAGCAATCTCCTGACACGGGATCCTTTCGAACATCATTGGCAGCCTTTCAGTCGCGCCTTCATTGGCGCTCTCATTTCATTCAGAAGCTGGAAACTGATCCCCTGTTGGAGAAGCGTGACTTGCACACTTCGTATCAAACACTCCGGCGTCAACCGGGTGACTGGAACGATGCCCATTATCAAGCGTGGGCCACTGGCAACACGGGATTCTCGTTTGTGGATGCCTGTACCGGTACGAGGTGTTTGAGACAAACGGGATGGATCAACTTTCGAATGCGCGCCATGTTGGTCAGTTTTGGCACCTACAATCTCTGGTTGGATTGGAAACGAATTGCTCCCCACCCGGCTCGAGTCTTTGCGGACTATGAACCTGGCATTCATTACCCACAACTGCAAATGCAAGCAGGGACGACAGGGATCAATGCCATGCGAGTCTACAATGTGGTCAAGCAGGGTAAGGACCAGGATCCAGAAGGTGTCTTTGTCAAACGGTATTTGCCGGATCTACAGCATGTGCCAAAGAAGTACATTCGTGAACCCTGGAACATGCCCAAGACGACAAAACAACAATGCAAAGTAAAGGTTGTGGTGCTTGGCCAGCCAAACAGTACTGGTAGTGATAATGAGAGCTCTGACACTGATGATGTACAAAGCTATCCTTTGAAAATTGTGGATCCAAAGGAGTCAGCCAAGGTGGCCAAATCCAAAGTTCACAATATTCGAAAGCAAGAAGAAACACAGAAACTTGCCCAGGAGGTATACCTGAAGCACGGCAGTCGAAGCCGACGCGATTCGATTCCAATGATGAAAAACCCAAAAAGAAACCGACTCCTGCCAAAGATCAACCAGGAATTCGATCATTCCTTGTCAAACAACAAACACAATCAACAACCCGATCAAACACAGCAAAATCACCATTGGTGGGGGGCAAGAGGAAGGCAACAGCAGAACAACTGCCTCAAGGGAATGCATTGAGGATGAAGCCTATCAATAGTGGCAGTTGGGCATGCAATGCGTGTACATTTGAGAATAGCGAACCATTGGGTCTTGCCTGCAGTATGTGTGGGACAAGGAGGAACAGCAACTGATGATATCTTAGCTTGGTATTCACAAGGGAGCTCGCGTTTACTGGTATTCCAACGCATTGGCATCATCAACTACGGCAATAGCAGCTGCAGGCTTTTCATATTCAGACTTCAGGGCGCTGCCTCCTATGCGAGTGATGGCACGGGATGAACAAAAGTTGAAGTCATAATCAATTTTAGTAAAAGCTAAAGATTAGAGCAGAATGCTGCCACACCAGCCCCTTTTTATCCCCAGCTAGTAACCATACCGGTACCAGGTAGTTGTTGTATAACGATCCTCTATGCATAGCGAGGGATGGGTACGGTAACACTCAATTCCCCTCGTGCCTGTGATCTGCCATGTGTCCTACCGTACAGGAGGCCAGGCATACCGGTACGTGTAGAAAGAACCGCGACGGTACCGGTACCTTTTGTCTCTTACAGCTCTGCTGGGCTTTATTGAGTTTGGAATGATCGCCAAATCTTGTCTGTGGTTGGGTCATGAGGCAGACGCAATCAGTGCACAAACGTCACTCAGTTCTGATTGGCCGAATTGGAATTTCAGCCACCTCCCTCCAAGGATCCATTACAACAGCTGCTTCCAGCGCAGAGTGAAGGGGACGGAGCAACAACAGCTGCTTCCAGCGCAACAAATCACAATCGAGGACAGAACAACCCAAACATCATCAATGAGACATCAACCCCCAGGTTGAGCAACTGCAACTCTGCAACTTCTTTTTAAAATTTGCTTTCTCGTTCCTTTCATAAAGATCCTCGTCGGTGGCAAATAGCACAAGTTCCATTACTCTTGGAAAGTATCTGGTAACTGATTGGATTCATTCTCCCGGGCAGATACCTACCTTCACAATGAGACTTGTTTTGGGACTCCTTTTGGCGGAACAGCTGAGTTGGGAGTGCTCAGCTTGGTCGCCAGGGCTTTCATTCCCATGGAGATCGACGGCAAGGAAACATGACGTTCCGCAGCGACAAGAAACAAGAATTCGTCTCCCCATGGCGTCGGGAGATTCGGATGACTCCACTATGAGTGCCTACGAGAAAGCCATGGCCGAAATTGCCGCTGCTGGCAGGCCAATACAGCCAGAGCCAACAACATTTTTTACCACCACGGCTACTACAAGTCCTAGCGCAGAAGAATCATCGGCAACGAGTGCGTACGAAACAGCGTTGAGAGAGTTGCAACAGGATGACCAACAAGCCGCTCACGACTACTGGAATACTGATATTACCAATAATAATTTTGACCATGATGAAACGACATTCCTGGAAGACGCATTCAACGACCCTGGCTATATTGAACAAGAAATGCGGGATCTGGAGGCAACAGCTTCCTGGACCGGTACCACGAATACGGCAACTACTACTACTACTACTCAAGAAGAATATCAGCCGCCATCTTATGGGTGGGTTCCCTATCAAACGCCAGGAACCAATTCCGAAGATGCACTGTTTCCACAAGAAGTTCCACAACAACCAGAAGAGTGGCCTCAGCAATACGAACCGTTTCCGACGGCGCCAGAATCCGATACTACCAGTACTTTAGCATCACAGACACCACCAGAAACTGCACCTGAGAAAACTGAAGAAGTTCCACAACCAGAGTGGCCTCGGCAATACGAACCGTTCCCGACGACACCGGAACCTGTATTCGATACTACTACTACAGCATCACAGGCACCACCAGAAACTGAACCTCAGAAATCTGCACCTCAGATTTCAGCTGGTTTCTTGGAGGCGCTCTCTCCCAACTCGGAGAGGCAAGGTTTCTTGACGGCAAAACAAGATGCACCATCTCCTGCTACTGTGGAAGAAACAGACACCACCAGCAGTGATACATGGGTCCCTCCTCTGATGTTTGTCAGCAAGGAGGACCCGACAGATACCCAAGACGAAGAAGTTGCAGGATCCAGCATACTGTCGCTAGAGCCAGAGCCAATATCCCCCGTTGCTGCTTCGGCGGCTGGTGGTGTCTTGCCAACCGCCAAACAGCAACTCCAGCAACCCGATCTTGTGCTCGAATCGCCGCCGGAACCGGTTGCCTCGGTAGACCCATACAACCTTCGACTGGAAGAAGCGGTCATGCCACCAGTAGAGACAGCCCCGCCACCAACGGCCGAAGTGATTCCGGCCACTACCGACTGGCAAGAAGAAGCTACTAGTAGTGTCAAAGAGGAGGCCATCGTGACGCCTCAACCACCCGCGGAAGAATCAAGCCATCCCTTCAACTTGATCACCAAAAACCCAAAGCTCAACAACTTTATGAATACAGCCTGGGATGAGTTCGGGAAGGGCCGTCGGATCAAGGTGGACCCCGTCAAGGCTGTGGCGGACATGACCAAGGATGTCTTGGGAATCAAGCGACCAGAAACAGAGAAGGCTGTCAACCCTGCTTTTGCCGTCAAACCAGGAGTTACCAAGCGAATAATGGATGCTTTGGATGCCAAACAACAACATGGGCAAACAGAGTAAGAAGTGTGTTGTGTATGTTTGCTCTTTCTCTCGAGTCTTGTATTAGTGCCATCTCACTTGGTTAGTTCTACTCGCAGCAGCAACCAACCTAGGCCATTGTCTCGTTGGGCAGCATTTCAAATTTCGGAAGCACGGTGGGAAGACATGAAGAAATCGAGAAAGTTCAAGTATGATTTGAAGCTTTACCAGCACATTCAAGATGGTGCCGTGCCTCCTCGTCAATTCGTCAGTGAGGACTGCGCCAGAGGAAATGCAAAAGGATGCGCCAAGCTTCGGGATATTTGTGAGAGTGCTGACGAATGCCACTCTTTGGATGAAGAAGGACCACCGTTGGATGATAACGGCCTGCCCATTATGGACTTCGATGTGGTCGTTCTTGGAGGCACGCTGGGAATCTTTTATGCCAGGGCGTTGCAGCTCAAAGGGCTCAAGGTTTGTGTTGCCGCCCCTCGTGCGCTCCAGGGCCAAGAACAGGAATGGAATGTTGGCTTGAGAGATCTAAAAGAACTGACCAGTCTGGGAGTCTTGACACCTGAAGATATCGATGCTGCTGTCACCACAGTATTTGATGGTACTAGAGCTGGTTTCAAGAATCGTGAGGTGACACCATTGAGAGGTGGCTTCTACGAAAACGGAGGAACGGGTTTTGAGTGCTACCTGAAGGGAGTTTTGAATCTCGGTCTATCGCCTGCGATTCTCATTGATCGTGTAGCCAAGCGGTTTTATGAAATGGGTGGCGTGATCCGGGAGCGATGCCCACTAAACGGAGTGGCAGTGTCTGCGCAAGTTGGTTGTGCTATTGATCTGGGTAGCTACGACAAAGATGAGGATGTGGAGCCCATCACGGCAAAGATGGTCCTTGACTGCATGGGATATGGATCACCGGTTGCTCGGCAACAGCGGTATGGTGTGAAACCAGACTCTATCTGCATGGTATTCGGATCCTGCGCCGAAGGATACAACCCCGATAGAAATCGTTTTGCAGATGCAATGTACACGTTCAATCAACTTCAAGACTTTGGAAACCATGGCCGCCATCAGTACTTCTGGGAATCTTTTCCAGTTGGCACCAACTTGACTATGCCTTTCACGTCTGACAAGTCATTATTCGACATGCTGACATTTGGAAACTCTGGAGTCAACGAAAAGGATGGCACGCAGAAAAAGAGCAGCACCAAAACAACCTACATGTTTACATATTTGGACGCTCACAAACGCAGACCCGCCTTGGAGGAACTGATGGACGACTATTGGAAGTTGCTCCCAACTTATCAGCGTTCCATCAACGACCCCGAAACGGACCTTAACATCGAGAGGGTTCTCTACGACTATTTCCCAGCGTACCGAGACTCGCCCATGAAGCCTCATTTCAACCGCGTTCTGTCGGTTGGCGAGGCGTCTGGATCGCAAGGTCCCATTAGCTTTGGAGGCTTTCGCTCGCTTAGCCGGAATCTTGGACGTATCAGCGGGGCGGTGGCGGAAGCTGTGGAGATGGGATGCCTGCACAAGGATGACCTGGGTGATATCAACTGCTATCAGCCAAATCTGTCGGCCGGATGGTTGATGCGAGATGTCATGTCTGTGAAAATGGGCAAGAACGTCAGACCGGACTTCACGAACAGAGTGCTCTCCGTCTATCTAAAGGCGATGAACGACCTTGGACCTAGCACGATTACGCCTCTGATGCACGATGTCTTGCGCTTCGATGCCTTGAGCAAGTCCATTGTGTTGGGCATATTTGCTGACCCTTCCCTGATGGGAGAGATGGTGAAGCATGTAGGCGTTTCTAAAATGATGGACTTTCTTGGACATTTAAGCAACATGGGATGGTACAGCCTTCTGGACACCTCCATGTCACCCATAATGGAGCTGATGCTGAAGCAAATCAAGGATCCCCGAACCAAATTCCAATGGCGGCGCCGCATGGAAGCGTGGAAGTATGGCAGCGGAAATGATTACCAATCCTAGACATTTGCATCCATTTGAAGTATTCTGCATATACGAAACGTACGAGTCTGGCGGAAAGCTGCGCAATTCACCATCTGAGCCAGCCAGTTTATGAAGTTCACTGCAAGTTAATTCTGCGAGGAAGCTCGCACTCGTTTACATAGTGTAACAAAGAACCAAGATTAACCCAACATGAATCCACCAATACCCTTGGGCAACCAACCCCCACCATCTATTCTAGAAATTCTTCTGACAGTAGCAATGGCTTTGGCCATTGGTTTGCTGGCTTTTGACCGCTACTACTGTGGCAGGATCATGGAAGATTACAACCAGTCGCCGTCCACCATCTCGGAAGAATGGTCTTCTCCCTCTAGTTGGCAGAAATGAAGATTTGGAGGATGATGAAGCTAATGAAGAAAGTGACGAACACCTACAACAATAGAATCAGAGCCAAAGGAAGCCCAAGCTCAGAAGAGGTACAGGCTAGCAGGTTGTAAGCTCGTCCCCTGTCAGCCCCCGGATAGGCATACTGTACCATAGCTGGGTTCGGGAGCTAGAATGAAATGCATCGCGGAAACTCTTTTAAAATAAGAAGGTATTGCAAATAATAATAAATAAACACTAAATAGATACGTTAAGGAGCGAGGGGGGCGAGGCTAGGCAAAGCAGTGGCTGCGGTGGTGGGTATTGCAAATGTTGATTTTCCCATTTTCCTAATTTTTAAACCTGTGTTTTTATGTACAAACTGGTTTCGTACATGAGAGACCGGGTTGGGTTAGGCGAGGACTGTCGATTTAGAGAGCAATGTGTGCCAGATGGGAGTTGTGTGGTGGAAGTGTAGCTAGCTGGGGGTACCACCGATAGGAGAAATCGTTTCATGCTGTACCAGACTCTTCAATGAGGATTTGGTTGGGTTGGTCTGGTGTCAGGTGGCAATTCAAACAACGACGCAAAGTAGTATCGTTGCTCCAGTGCCACTGCCAATGCTTCTAGGAACCTTTGATTGGCAATCTCCACGGTAGGTTTAAGGAAGAAATCGTTCAAATTGCCTACACCAGTCTTGCACCCCATTTGGAACTTGTTCCTCTGCTTTTTTGGGAAAAAGGGTCGGCCCATGCTCCAGAGCATATTGGCAAAGAGGCCTGTATTGTAGTGTCTGGCCTGGTTAATTTTGATTGGGTAATATTGGAACAGCTCTGTTTGAAGTTGTTTCTGTGCCTCCACCGTGAAATTCGTTCAGTTGAATCTCTCGCATTCCACAAGGAAGAGGGGTCCATTTTCGATTGCTTGAAAATTTGGATTCAGGCCATTTAAACAAAAGTAGAGAGCCCTCAGGAGTACATTCCCGCCATTCCTTTCATAAAATCGTCGTGCATTGAGCATGGAAGCATCCATGGCCAAAGTGAATTCTTCTCTGCCTGTCATTGTCACCATGTGGAAGGATGGAAAGAACCCAGGAAAGAGCTTCATTGAAACCTTTGCACACGAGAGCCCGCTTTCCATAGATTTCTCAATATGGTGCTCTGCTCGAAAACGATGCAACCACCGGACCTTCTCAATGTTGTCCGCCCGGTTTTCCCCCCGACAACACTATTTGAACCAACTCAAAATCTGAAGGTGGAGCCAGTCCTTCTTCTCGAATAGAATATTTGAGATTCCAAACCCGGTCCCTCACATCATTCCCTAGTCACATACCAAATCGAAAATTATGCAGCACCGACCACGCATGGCGCGGTACTGGCTTCATAGAATGCTCTCCTCCAGGTTGGCCATTATCATTTTCATCGTGGTTGTGCATGAGGGTGTTGTTGGCCCCGTCATTGACTGCTGGGTTCAGTGGTGGGAGGTTGCCGTTGTTGGTTTCCATGGTTGCCTGCTCTGTGGTCAACCTTCAATCTCTCACGAAATTGGTTATCCCCTACTCCAACAATTCTGAGTGTAAGACAATGAATCGGGTGACTATGATGTGATTACCAGTGGAGCGCACTCTAGCACTGGTATACATACCGTAGTAGATGAGTGGACAGTCGGCGCAAGTGAGAATGGCGTTTGTGCTTGCCACTCAATGATTCTCATTCATCATTCTCAATTGGATTCTCGAAGACCACCGAAATGGTCCTGGATTGCCTGTTCTTTTTAAATAATGTTAGGGGATGGGCAAATCTTGCTATAGCACTGTAGTGTACTCAACATGAGTGACTCGGAATGTCAGAAAAAAGGATAAAATGAACATTTTAGCGGGAAGCAAAATTCAATTGGATTAGATTGCATTTTAGATTCGATTGAATTGGATTGAATTGGATTCCAAACCTTAGTGAACTGGAATTCAATGCAATCCAGCTCAATTCAATCCAATCCAATCGGATCTAATCCAATTGCACAATAGAAAATTGCACCCCAAAACAAATATTCACCTTTTCAAAGACACTTTTACAAAAAACGCTAGCAAATACAATGCAGGGCTATGGGCAAGTTTGCTCATCCCCTTACTGTACTGGTATTTAGTTTTACGGAAGTGGATAGTTTTACGGAAACGTCATTTCCGTAAAACTGATTTCCGTAATTTATGGAAACTTCATAAGTTACGGAAAGTTTCCGTAGAACTGTTAGTTTTACGGAAAGTTTCTGTAGAACTGTTAGTTTTACGGTTTTTGATTTGAGTCGTGTCAGACCTTCACACATGATTGATCGCCGGCGATTCACTATGACGTCATATCCACAACTAACTCAGAAGTAGTCGTGTTTAGAACTATGCACGTTTCAATCAGTCGTATTTACCGATTCAGTCTCGTTTCCGGACCTTGCTAGACTACACTCTGGAGCGTGCCACAATCGTGCTTTTGGGTAGGATTTAACGGATAGAGTTTGAAACTCTACCTTATAGGGGAGAGTTTTGAAACTCTACATTAAGTCTTGGGTAGAGTTTGACAACTCTACCCTATAGGATAGAGTTTGAAACTCTACCCTAATAATTAGGAGAGAGTTTCAAACTCTACCCTAAATCGAAACCGGACTGCGGAGACTTTAGTAGTGGCTCTACGTAAGCCATTTCAGATTTAAGGTAGAGTTTGAAACTCTATCCTGTAGGAGAGAGTTTGAAACTCTATCATAATTATTAGGAGAGAGTTTAAAACTCTATCCTATAGGGTAGAGTTTTCAAACTAGAGTTGCAAACACGATTGCAGCACGATCCTGCTCTACTGGACGCTGGGCACATTGGGTTGAGAGGGGCTTGGATTCTGTCACTAACAAATTACACGGAGGAAAGTCGGCCCGCCTTACTCTGAGTTTTGAATGGCTATTTAAATAATTACTAGTACCTCGATTATTTATTTATTTATTTATTTCGAAATGATACTCACGAACCACCTTACTGTTTGCATACATGTACGATGTATCTTTACTCTATCAAGATTGCAATACACGGCTCTTAGCCTTATTCGCGACTCGATCCTAGATAGGGTTTGAGTTCGACTCAT